GAGGATGAGGAGGGGGGGGGAGGGGGGGGGAGCTTGCAGAGGGGAGAAGGGGGCCGAAGGGAGGAAGGGATAGAGAGAGGGGGGGACGACGAGAAAAACGAGGGAACTATAGGTGAAGGCAGAAGGTGGAGGAACGTATGCGGGGGGATCGCGGAACACGGACATATAGCCACCGGCTCAAGAAACTGGAGAGATGAAATGTTGCATGCGCTGACGTAGCCTTCCAACTCATCAGCAGAGCTGCTTATCTACGTGTGCCAGTTCCAACTGGAAGAAACCAGGGAAAACAATCTAACACCTCCGAATCCAACGAGCTGCAAGGACCGCTGGAATGCCACCATTACTATGAGAACCATTTTGGGGGATCAACAACGATTTAGACATACTAACGTATTTCTTCCGTGCGTGTACAAAAAAAAGAAGAGTGGATATCCTCATCCGTTGCGACCACTTTCAAGAAAGGTGAAGCCTCTTTGCATTCGAACTACAGGCTAGTACCCGTTATTAGCAATGTGGTGTCATAAATCAGCCAGCATATCAGTGAATATCATCAATACGGCATTCGGCTACTTCGCGAGACTAGAGAGGCATTGTTTTTGGCGCGTCGGCAAATTGACGCAACGGTGGGATAGCAGGACCGCAAGTTATCATTTGGTGCTCATGTACTGTAATAAAACACGTGGCCGCCAAAAACCACCATGTGTTGAACAAGCACTGCAGCTGCGGTAGTCGAGATGGCCTGGGGCACGAACGGAGTGCGTAAGTTTGTGGTGCAAGGCAAGGGCACGACGTCTCCAAAATGGGCAGATTGCTTGGATTGCGCAAGGTTGGCCGCTGTCTCCGTACTCACGGATCGTTGTCAGGTATATGGAAGAAGGTTGACACACATCCGCATATGAAAAGCTGGAACACAATCCAAGCCATACATATATATATATATATACATATAGCTACGGGATCTGTTGCGCACGCGAGCGGCACGATGCTTGTGGCCATGGACCCCTGCACGCTCCAAACGCATCCAGACGTGGTTTCAACACTTTGGGGAGGTATGGTTTGGAGCTAAAGTCAGACAACACATATGATCACGGTCATATGTTGGGCTGAATGCTAAAAGGAATCGCGGCCAATGGGCATGCGATTGATTTGGGTGGCCTTGTAAATACAGACGAGAGGCCACGGGCGCAGCTTACACGGCGCCTGGTGTAAGCACTGCGCATATGTAAATAATTGCTGAACAACTGACCAATCATCGAAATTACTCAGACGGAAAGACCCCGCATGACAATCTGTTCGGCTAGTCTGAAAACGACCTTCACTGTCGCCCTCGCAATTAATGAGGCGCTATGATTGTCTTCTCCGCGTCATTATCATTCTCGCCCTGACGCAAGGCCCTCACCCGCTCCCCGCGTCGCCCTTGCGTCGCCCTCCTGCCGTGCGTTCCGTCACCCACCACCTCCTCGCATGTCTATTGCAAGAGCGCGCGCGTCGATTTTCCTCGACGCCATCGCCGCCTCGGCCAACGCGGGCGCGTTCTCGAATGGCCGTGTCGCACGGCCGTTGGGATAACCCCGCGGGCCAGGCCGTCGGGGCAACCGCGCGAACCGCTGGGGCGCGGGAGCAAGCCGTTGGGACAACCCCGCGGCCCCAAGCCAGTCACGGCCGCGCTTAGGCGGGAGGCAGCACGAAACCAAACTCTGCGGCGAGCCGCTCGGCCTCATCCCTGGAGCTCTCCGCTTTCTCATCGAACTTTTCGACCGCCTTCCGCAAGGACCGCGGCGGCCCGCGCTCCAGAAACTCCCGCGTCAGCGGCCGCAGCATCGGCATGTTCCGCATGCGCGTGGCGCGGGAGAGCATGACGCAGGGGTGCAGCCACCACTGGTCGTCCGACATGCCCGTGCGGCCAGCGTCCTCGTCCCTCGCGCAGTCGAAGGTGACGCCCTTGCGGAGCGTCTGGCCCTGCGACAGCGTGGAGGTGAGGTAGGACGCGTGAATCAGAGTGAAACTCGAGCAGCGCAAGGTGTGCGGCCCCGAGCTCTGCCCCCGCTTCGACCGAGGATGGGTTACCACCCCCAGCCCGGACGCAAGGGTTCCCCCCTGCGCCCGGCCGCCGTCGTCGTCCTCACCTCCTGTTCCTTTTCTTCCTCCTCACCTGATATGTTGGGCGAATCGCCCCCTGAAGAGCGCATTGGGAGGGGGCTCCCGCCAAAGACTTCCTCACAGTTCACTCACAGACGAGGCTACCCGCCTGATACTTCCTCCATGTTCAGGCCTTGGACGACCCAACATGACGACACTTACAAAGTTGAGGATGACCCGCTCGGACTGAAAACATTATGTGCGGGCCCATAGGGAGGGGGCTCCCGCCTGATACTTCCTCACAGTTCACTTACAGACGAGGCTCCCGCCTGATACTTCCCCCATATTCAGGCCTCGGGAGCCAAAACGTGATGACAGTTACAGGTTCGAGGGTGACCCGCTCGGATGAAAAACATGAAATGCGGGCCCCATAGGGAGGGGGCTCCCGCCTGAGAAACCTTGCGCAATTCACTTACAGACGAGGCTCCCGCCTGATACTTCCCCCATATTCAGGCCTCAGGAGCCCAAAAATGACGACGATTACAAGTTCGAGGATGACCCGCTCGGACTAAAAACATGAAGTGCGGGCCCCATAGGGAGGGGGATCCCGCCTGAGAAACCTTGCGCAATTCACTCATAGACGAAGCTCCCGCCTGATACTTCCCCCATGTTCAGGCATCGGGAGCCCAAAAGTGATGACAGTTACAGGTTCGAGGGTGACCCGCTCGGATGAAAAACATGAAGTGCGGGCCCCATAGGGAGGGGGCTCCCGCCTGAGACTTCCTCACAGTTCACTTACAGACGAGCCTGCCGCCTGATACTTCCCCATATACAAGCTAGCGAATGAGTGGGTGAGTGACTGAGTGAATGACTGAATGAGTGATGATGATGATGATGATGACGAGGATGATGCAGATGATGAGTGAGTTGGTGAGCGAGTTTATGATCGAGTGATGGTCAAGGTGATCAAGATGGCCTGTGTGTGAGCGCATGTGAGTGTGAGTGTGTGAGTGATGGCGATGATGATTGCGATGATGATGAGTGGAGGAGTGAGTGGGAGCGAATGAATGAGTGAGTGAGTGATGGTGATGATGCTACTGATGTTGATGATGGTGATGTGGTGATGATGCTACTGATGTTGATGGTGATAAGCGTGTGTGTGCGAGTGATGGCGACGTGATGACTGAGTGAATGAGTGATGATGATGAGTGTGTGAGTGAGTGAGTGAGTGAGTGGGTGATGTAGTGTGTTCTGGTTCCTGCCCGAGGTGCCCAGAGAAAACAAGAACCCCACTTTGGATTTGGAGAACATCTCCAATGTTGGAATCCTGTGTCCGTCTTCAAGTTGTTATGTGGGCTCTAGTCGTGCATGCTCTGCAGCACTGTACAAGCTCTGCTACACAACATCCCTCAGACGTACACGCGGCAATCGGGCAGCACTGCCCCCTCCAGCTGACTGCCTGCGCTACTCTTCTTCCCTTCCTCCATCCCCCCTCCTCCCCTCCCCCTGGCGCTTATCGCATGCAAATTGCCCAACAACGGATCACAAAACACAATGTCTGCTGGTGGCTCCACACCATTCCCGTCATTCATGGCGTACATGCTGTTTGATTGATGTGTCCTGCATGTACGAGTTCGCGATGTTTCCGTGCCAATGCGCTAACTAGGTGCGGCTTTGTCAAGCGGCTTTGTTCGGAAACTGGAGCCTATACATTACCAGTGGCGGGCCGTCTTCCAATCCCAGGACTTTGTGAGGGTAGGGAACGACGTCGGGGTGGTGTAGTGTATACTTGTTTGCCCGCTTTCCCAAGAAACATTGGGAAATGTATCCACCAAGGTCCCGTATACACCAAGCTCCGCTTTCTTGCGCAAAGGTCCGTGCAGGGCCGCACAAAAACGTCGGTGCATAGAGCGCGGTTCCCTATTTGTATGTGGCGCGGCCATCTCCTCAGTCATCCCACCATCCCCCAAAATCAGCGCCCCTCAAACGGGGACTCCACTAACAGGTACTTTGGCCAGTGACCCAGCGAACCCAACCCTTCCCGATGCGGGCAACGCTGCATTGCCAGAAAGAGGCCCTAAAGTGGCAACTTTCGGCAAAATTGCAAAGTACCCGTTCGTAAGTACCCGTTGCGGTGCCGTTGACAAAACCCCCGCCCCTTCTTCCCGGGCCATCGCCTCGCGGCACACAATACAGAAAGATGCCACGACAAGGCCACTGCAGAACACCGCCTGCCTTCCCCGCACACTTTTCGTTGTCGAACTGCGAGCAACAGTAATGCCTGACAATGGCAGGCGGACGCAGTCGATCGAGGAAGTGTGGAATGTCACTATTAATGACGTATGGAAGGAACGACCCCGCAAAGCGCGCAGAAGGAAACCGAACGGCAACTGCAACAAACTGCGTGTTGGAACGGCGAGTGCCACCAATGTAGAATGGTCCGAATCGGCACTGGCTTCGAAAGTGGTGATTAGTTAAACAGCCGCTGGCTCTAAGCTTGCTTCTTAAGTGCCGCCTCCCAGAAGCGGCGGGCAGGGACCTGCCCGAAGGCCGAAGTGGCCGAAGAATTGTCGCTGTCGGGCGCACTGAGATTGGATACTGCTTCAAACGCCCACAAGGGGCAGCATGTGTGTGTGTGCGAGGCAATGCGCAGTGACCTTGCCTGCGTTGGTGACACAAAAGAGGCCTGGGACTCAGGACAAAAAACGGTGGTCTCAGTCCAGCTCCACCCCAGGCAAGGGGCTTCGACGGGGAGGGTTAGGGCGATGCGAGAGGAGGAGGAGGATGAGGACCACAAAATGAGCAAGCAAAGCAAAACGGACGGTGGAGAGGAATTCTGGCACCGGGATGCCACAATGTCGACTCACGACCTGCAGGCTGCCGACGTCCTGGTCGGCAGTTCGCCGGAGCCGCCCGGCGGCTCAATGAAGCCGCGGCTGCCGCCGGAGCGGCCCCTGGAAGCCCAGCTGCCAGCGTGGCCGGAAGGCCACCCCCGGGTCGCTGGAGCACTTCTCGAAGAACTTCTCGAACACCCGCGCGTGGAGGTCCTCCCCCAGCTCGAGGACTCTCGGCCCCCTCGCCGCCGCCGTCGGCGGCCGCGCCCGACCCTCGCTGGCCACGCCTCCGACCACTCCGCCCGCAGCCTCGCGCGCTGGTGCGGGGGGGGCGGCAAACCCGCGGGCGAGCGCTGGCGTGCCGCACACTTCCGGGCCTGCGGGCGCAGGCTGGCGCGCAGGCGCCGCTGGCCGCGCCGCAAGCTCCGGGGGGGCGTCGAGCTGGAGGCCGGGCGGGAGCTCCAGGCCTGGGGGCGGCTTCAGCATGTCCAGGAAGGCCCAGGTGGGCGGCGGAGGGGAAGGCGGACGTCGAATTCGAACGGCGGCGCGGCGATCTTGCAGCGAGAGGCGCTGCCTCTCGCCCATGGCAGTCGCGACGCGCTTGGCGAGCGCCACCGCTGCCAGCAGGAGGCTGAAATCGTCGTCCTTGCCGACGTCCCCCTCCGGGGCGCGACTGCCGCTGCTGCCGCACCTCCCCGGGAGGCTGGCTTTGGTCACGTGCTTCGAAAGCCCAGTGGCAGCCTCCGCGGAGCCCTTCCCCAGCGACGGCGCCTGCACGCGCGGCCTGGGCGCCGTCGTCCCATTGGTGGACGTAGGCGGCCTGCGCGTCGTCACGGCCTCAAGCCCTGGCGCGCGCTCCTGCGGCAGGGCCGTGTCGGACCAGAAGAGCGGACTCGCGCTGCCGCAGGGCTGACCAGGCAGCCTGAGCCCCACGGGCGCGTCGGTGAGCTGGTGGAGGGCGGCGGCGAACTGCGGAAACCTGAGAGTCTGCCCCTGCCAGATGACGACTGGCATGCCCTTGTCGGGCTCGCCCCCCGTGGCCGTCTTGCCCAAGGACATCTCGACGAGGTGGATCAGGTTGCTCTCCAGCCCCTGTATGTGGGCTGGGAACACGCTGCACTGCTTCGGCTTGAATGACCTGCGGAAATTGTACTCGCTGAGGACCCCGCGACACCGTTCCGCCCCCTCCGCGTCACACAAGTTCAGGAACGCATAGCCGACGTTGCAATTGTTACGCGAGTCCCAAGGCAAAAATAAGAGATTGAAATCGGCAACGCTGCCCAACGCGTCCTGGATCTCCGTCAGGAGCTGCTCTTGGGAGTAGCTTCGGGGCACATTGCGGAGCATCAGAGTGGTGATGGGAGGATCCATCATTCCGAACATGGCCCCGCCCGCAATGGTCACCTGATCCCAGATAGTACCAGAAGATTGTTGCTGGAGCAAGTCTGCTCGGAACGTGCCGGCTTGAGCCACGATGGCTACGGAAGGAGGCAGGAGGAGGATGAAGACCTCCCCCAGGGGTGCAATCCGTCCATGATTTTGGGGCGAATCCAGCGGTGTCGACAAAAGACGGGCAGCGGTATCGGAATCTGTCAGTTCCAACACGTTTACCTATCCTCTTCATCCTCCTCACCCCCCTCTCCTGATGAGCCTGTTTTCCACCACGACAACCATAAGTTGTGGGGGAAGGTGGACGATGATGAGGAGGAGGAGGAGGAAGAAGAAGAAGAAGAAAAATAATAAACATAATAAAAATAATAATAGTACGAATAATAATAATAAGAAAAAGAAGAGGTGGAGGACCCCCTCCCTCCCACCTCCAACTTATGGTGGTGGTGGAAAACAGGCCCATCATCTCCTCCCCCTTCCTCCTCCTCGGCTTTCCTCACGTGAACACCTGCTCGACGAGCCCCGATCCAAATCGGCCCCCGGACCCCTCGCAGTTTCACGTCCCGGATTGGCTTCTGCACTGCCTCAGGGCCCGAGCAAGGCCTGCATATGGGACGCACAAGGACATACTGATGCTGTATGGTCCTCCTTGGAGGCGCGCGTCCGACCCGAACATCTATATATATATATATATATATATGTATATATACATATATATATATATATATATATATATATGTGTACGCCTATCTTGCAGTATATTGTTTCCCGAGCGGTGTGGCCAGAAAGCGCCCGGCACGACGCATATACTATGAGATTTCTCGGTGCGCGCGTCGCCCCTGAGGGGGCGACGCACATACAGTATACGTATGTTGGGGTGGCACCGGATACACACACACATATATATATATATATATATATATATATATATATACACATAGACACCGAAATCGGCGCCCAGACGTCCGATGCTTTGTTGTTTAATTGGAAGCCCCTTTGCCTCCGCGAGCCTTACTTTGCGAGAGGCGCTCTCTGACTTTTCTCTCCACCTCTGCCCACTCCCGTGCGGATTGGAGTTCTGACCAATTTCCTCAATCAAGGTCCAACATATTGATGTTCAGAGTGTCCGCCTCCACCGTCGCGCGCATGATTGGCTTGCCGCTGACTTTGATGACGCCCGCTCCCGCGTCCACCTTGA